CAGCAGCAGCAGCAGCAGCAGCAGCAGCAGCAGCAGCAGCAGCAGCAGCAGCAGCAGCAGAAAGACCACAGGGATTTCGTTTTTTTGGATTTTTTTTTTGGAGTTTAATTTGTAAATTGTGCTTTTTAATGACAGATGTTTTTATTATTTTGAAACTTCTTTTCTACTTTAATTTAATTTAATTTTTGGGTTATTTCGAAGAAATAAATTCACTTCATTTGTTTTGCTGTGGGGCCCCACAGCAACTTAGTGGGAAATTTAAAATTCGAATTTAATTTATTTTAATTTATTTTAATTCATACATTTTATTTAATTTATTTTAATTAATTTACTGTAATTAATTTATTTTAATTTATTTATTTTAATTAATTTATTTTAATTAATTTAACTCGTACGTTTTAATGCGGGAATTAATTTAATAATTTGCTGCAGCTAATTTGAAGTCGAAATTAAATAATTAGAATTAAAAAAATTGCAATTAAATAATTGCAATTAAATAATTAAAATTGGACAATTGCCATTAAACAATTGCAATTAAATGGTTTTAATTAAATTGCAATTAAATAATTACATTTACATAATTACAATTGTACAATTACCATCAAATAATTGAAATTGAATAATTGAAATTAAATAATTAAAACTAAATAATTAAAATTAAATAATTAAGATTAAATAATTACCACTAAATAAATAAGATTAGATAAATAAGTAATTAAAGTTAAATAACTAAATAACTACAATTAAATAACACTGCCAAACAATTGCAGTTAATTAATTGCAAACAAGCAACTGCAATTAAAAACTAAAATTAAATAATTGGAATTAAATAATTATATCTAAAACTCCAATTAAATGCAAATAAATGTTTGCAATTAAAAACTGCATTTAAATAATTGTAATTAATTACATTACAATTAAATAATTGCAATTAAATCACATTTAAATGACTGCAACTAAATAATTAAAACTGAATAAGTTCAATTATTAATCACAATTAAACAACAATAATTAAATAGTTGCAATTAATTAAATATAATTAAACAATTACAATTAAATAATTATGGTTGAATAAATAAAATTAAACAATTATAGTCAAATAAATATAACTAAATACTTATGATTTAATAAATATAATTCAATAATTATAACTAAATGATTCCAATCCGAAATAATTGCAATTAAAAACTGTACTTGATTTTAAATCGACAATTAAAATTAAATGACTAATATTAAACAGTTGAAAAATTGAAATCAAATAATTAACATTTAATAATTACAATTAAGTATTAAATAATTAAAATTAAATAATTAAAATTAAATAATTAATTTCAAGTAAATAATTACAATTAAATAAATACAATGAAGTGATTAAAATTAAGTAACTGAAATTAAATAATTAAAATTAAATAATTAAAATTAAATAATTAAAATTAAATAAATAATTGCAAGTAAATAATTACAATTAAATAATTACAGTGAAGTGATTAAAATTAAGCAATCGAAATTAAATAATTGAAATTAAAGAATTAAAATTAAGTAATTAAAATTAAATAATTAAAATTAAATAATTAGAATTAAATAATCGTACTTCAATTATTTCTAATTTGCGGATTAAAATCTTAAGTTAGAATTAATTAAACAATTGAATTAATTAAATTAGATTTAAATTAAACTAAATGAATTAATTAATTGACTTTGGTCTGAAATAAATAACAAAATAGTCAAATAATTAAATCAATTTAAATTAAATAATCAAATTAGTTAAATTAAATAATTAAATAATTCAATTAATTAACTAATTAATTGAATAATTAATTAAATTAAATAACTAAAATAATTGAATGATTAAATTAATTAAATAACTAAATTGAACAATTAAACCAATTTAAACAATTAAACAATTAAACTAACTGCCCAAATTAATTAAATGAATTAAAACAAGTAAATAACCAATCAATTAAATCAAATTAATTAAATTAAACATCCAAATTAATTAAATTAAATAAAATAAATTAAATTAATTAATTAATTAAATTAAATAAATTAAATTAAATTAAATTAAATTAAAATTTTGAATTTTGGAATTTACAAAAAGCGGAGACGGCGAGTTGCGCAGCTGTCGATACAGCTGCGGCTGCAGCGGCGACGGAGAGGATTTTTCGAGTTTGTTTTTGTCGGATTTGATTTATTTTTGGATCATTTTGGATGGTTTTTGAAGATCTAGAAGACAGAATAGTTTTTGAATCTTCATTTTCTTTTTTTTCTCCTTTTTTTTCCTCCAACTTCTCCGAAAAATGCTTCGAAAACGACGCATTCACAACTTGCGCGATGGTGTCTGCGGGCATCCCCACCACCGTGTACACCCCGGACACCAGCTGCAGCAAACGCAAACAAAGTCCAAATCAAAACTTTTAATTCATTTTAATTCATTTTAATTCATTTTAATTCGTTTTAATTCATTTTAATTCATTTTAATTCATTTTAATTCATTTAAATTCGTTTTAATTCATTTGAAATCGTTTTAATTCATTTTAATTCGTTTTAATTCATTTTAATTCATTTTAATTCGTTTTAATCCATTTTAGTTCATTTTAATTTGTTTTAATTCATTTTAATTCGTTTTAATTCATTTTAATTCATTTTAATTCATTTCGGCTCCACTTTTGGCTTTTTTAAATCTCAGTTGGCTTTTTAATTAATTGGGATTGACGAGAAAAAGAAATTCGGCTTTTTTTAATTCCAAAATGCCGCATTTTCGCGAAATGCCGAAATCAACTTTTAAACTTTTTGCAAATGCAGCATTCCCTTTTAATAACCCTCTTCGACACACTTTCCCGGCAACTTCAGTGCAAATAATAAAATGATAAAAGTGTTTTAACCTTTCGAAAGAAACGCGGCGTTCGCGCGCACTCGTGAGGTGTACATACACCTGAGGTGTACGTACACCTCAGCGGGACTGCGGAAATCCCGTTTTCGGTGGAGAGGGAAAGCGGGGGAAATTGAAGGAGCAAAAGACAATTAAAAGATTTATTTATTCAGTTTTTGATTTTAATAAATGCGGGAATCATTTAATTGATTTAAATCTCCATTTAGTTCGGCTTTCCACTGCTTGCCTGGTGCGCCGCCATGCCCTTGGGGCCCCAGAGGGAAGCTGCCTTTGTCATGGACGAATAGAGCACCAGTCTGGAGCAAATCGAGCAGCAAAACGGAAATAAAAACGAAAATAAACAAATTAAAAATAAATAACTCTTCAAAACAAACAAATGCATGCAAAAAAGAGTCGAATTTGCAAACTTCGACTCTTTTTGCATGCATTTGCGCCCCCGCGGCGCGGAGCTGCGGTGTACGTACACCCCAGCGCTCACCTCACGCAGCACTGCGTCATCACCGGCAGCAAAAAAGGACCAAAAGCAGCAATTTCTGTCAAAGTTGGCGGCCTATAAAGGTTCAGAGTTGCTTGGATTTGCTGCAGCAGCAGCCCTTTCTGCTGCTGCTGCTGCTGCAGCTGCTGCTGCTGCTGCTGCTGCGGCTGCTGCGCGCGGGAAGGGGTTCTGCTGCGCTCGCGCCGCGCAGCAGCAGCAGCAGCAAGCAGCCCCAGCCGCAGCAGCAGCAGCAGCGCCACTGCAACTTGAACAGCAGCAACAGTGCCAGCAGCAGCTCTGACGAAAGCCCGCGTTGCTGCTTGCTGCTGCTGCTGCGCCTCCGCTGCGGACGCCGCTGCAGCAGCAGCAGCAGCTGCTGCTGCAGCTCTGGAAGCAAACAGAAACAACGCAGGAGCTGCTGCTGCTGCTGCTGCTACTGTCAGCAGCTGCGGCCACAAATCCCCAAGTGCAACAAAAGCCCCTTTTAATGCCAAAGTGATAATACAAAAAGGCAGCGAAAAGCACCGCAGCTGCACAAACTCAGCAGCAAGCGACAGCGTCTGCTGCTGCTGCTGCTGCTGCTGCGCTGCTGCTGCTGCTGCTGCGGCGGCAGCTGCGGAAAACGGGTCTGCTGCTGCCCCTGCTGCTGCTGCTGGCGCTGCTGCTGCTGCTGCTGCTGCTGCGCCTTTTATGCTCAAAAAGAAAGACAAGATGCAGCTGCTGCCCGCGTACAGCAAAAACGCCAAAGCCACTCCCACGCAACCTAAAAAATAAATAAATAAATAAATAATTAATTAATTAATTAATTAATTAATTAATTAATTAATTAATTAATAATTAATTAATTAATTATAATTAATTAATTGTAGTAATTAATTAATTAAAATAAACAAATTTAAGACAGTTGCTGCGGTAAAACGGGCAGTCGAGCGAAAGTAAATCACGCTGAGAAGCAGCAGCAGCAGCAGCAGCAGCAACGGCAGCAGCAGCAGCAGCAATGGCAGCAGCAGCAGCAAAAACGGCAGCAGCAGCAGCAACAGGGACACACTCATGCAATTCGTCGAGCCCAACGTTGTGCTGCTGTTGCTGCTGCACCTGCTGCTACTGCTGCTGCTGCAGCACTTGCTGCTGCTGCTGCTGCTAACAGCTGTCGCAGCAAACGGCTTAATCTACCTCTTCAATAAAATCCCCCCCATGCCGAAGACCCTAAACCCTAAACCCTAAACCCTAAACCCTAAACCCTGCTTACTGGCTAGCCAGACGCCGACTGCTGCAACGCGGAAAGCTGCTGTTTCCTTTTGTTCGCTGCTGCTGCTGCTGCTGCTGCTGCTGCTGCTGCTAGGTGCGTCGCGAGTTTGCTGCTTCGAGCCCTCGTCCCCCGCTGCTGCTGCTGCTGCTGCTGCTGCTGCTGCTGCTGCTGCTGCTTTGTGTCTGCTGCAGAGCGAGCCCAGAGAAACCCCAAAAGCTGCCAGCAGCAAACACAAACCATCTGCCATTTGTCCTGCTGCTCCCACTGCAACAACAGCAAGAGGGCCGGCTTTTGCTGCTGCTGCAGCAGCAAGCAGCGACAGCAGCGGCTCCTGGCCCCACGTCAGCAGCACAGACACAATCAGAAACAACACGTAACACGCAGAGTCCAAGTCACAACCCTTGCTGCTGCTGCTGCTGCTGCTGCTGCTGCTGCTGTTGCTGCTGCTGCTGCTGCTGCTGCTGCTGGGGGTGTTGGCGGCCGTTGGGGCGGCTATGGCGACGCTGTCACTGGCAGGCCTATTTTTCCTGCTGCCGCAGCTGCTGCTGCAGCTGCTGCTGCTGCAGCTGCTGCTGCTGCAGCAGCTGCTGCTGCTGCTGCTGCAGCTGCTGCTGCTAAGGCAGGAAGTCACCGGTATAACAGTCTCGCAGCAGCTGCTGCTGTCATCAGCAGCGGGCAGCTGAGGTGTATGTACACCTGCTGATATCAAACTGACGTACAGAGAGTCTTCCTTTGCTGCTGCTGCTTTTGCTGCTGCGTCGCTTGCGGGAATCTCCGCTGCTGCTGCTGCTGCTGCAGCAGCAGCAGCAACTACGTTTTGGTTGGTGCTGCTGTCGTCGGTCGACAGGCTCCGTCGGGGCGTGTCTGCGAATTCAGGTGTACGTACACCTGAATCCTGTGCTGCTGCTTCAACCTCGCTGCCTGCAGGAGCAGCGAGCAGCAGCAGCTGCTGCTGCTGCTGCTGCTGCTGCTGCCCCACATCGTCTGCTGCTGCAGGGTTCACGTCTCGCTCTCCACCGAGAGGCAGGGGGGGCCCCCGGGGGGCCCCCGCTGCTGCCGCTGCTGCTGCTGCTGCTGCTGCTGCTGCTGCTTTGGGGTGTCGGTGGGCACCGGGGCGCCGCGGCTTGGCCGCTGCGCCGGGGGGCATCTTGGCAGCAGTCTGCGTTTTGGAAAGTTTGAAATAAATGAAATGAAATAAATGAAAGAAAGTGGAGGAAAAGCCGCGGGGTTGAGGTGTACAGACACCGCAGCAGCGCGCAGGCCGAGGCTCGCAGCGCAGTCGGGGATGGCGAGCAGCAGCAGCTGCGCGGAGCTTTCCGCTCGCAGCAAACGAAGTTCCCGGCGGTCCCGGAGGCTAAAAAGGGGTTTAAAATGAAACTAATGAGAAGTTGAGGAGCTGGGCGGTCTTTGTTTCGCGGAAAAAGACGCACAAACGCCGCAAAGCCAGCGGGAGGCCCCCGGCAGCTGCGCTGCTCTCCCGGCCATTTAATCCCGTGTCTTGGCCCCTTTTTCCCCGTTTTTTCCTTTATTTCACCCCAACTTCCTTAGTAAATCGAAATTCCAATTCATTTGAGCCCTTAGCGGGCGCGAAAGGCGCTTTTCTGGCGCCTCGCCTTCAGGTGTACATACACCCGCAGACAACAGATACACGGATACACCTGGGGCCTCAGCGGGCCCCGCAGCAATCGCGGCGCCAAAAGGGGCTTTTCTGCGCCGTTTTAGCCGCCAATTCCGCGGAAAAGTTTATTTATTTATTTTTAAATTAATAATTAGTTCAAATTTAATTCATTTCGCGCGTTTTTAGCCCACTTGCGAGGCTCCCTGCCCTCCGGCGAGTTGCCGCTCGTCGAGTCGGCTTCTGCACTGCGTTTTGATTCGTTTCTCTCCCTCTTACCTCGTTTTTGTTCATTTTATTATTTCATTTATTTATTTATTTATTTATTTTATTTATTTTATTCATTTTATTCATTTAAAACTCTTCAACTTCCACTTTGTCGCCGCAGCTTTCCATACCCCGCAGCAGCTTCTCCCCCACAGACTTTCCTTCTCCCCCGCCCTGTGGGCTTTGCTGCAGCAGCCCCCCACAAATAGCTAGCTAGCTGGCTAGCTAGCTATATGGCTAGCTAGCTGGCTAGCTAGCTACATGGCTAGCTAGCTAGCTAGCTAGCTAGCCATATGGCTAGCGAGCTGCCTGCTAGTTGGTGGTCAGCTAGGTAGCTAGCCAGCTGGCTAGCTAGCTATATGGCTAGCTAGCTACCTAGTTAGCTCGTAGTTATCTAGGCAGCAGCTAGCTAGCTAGCCAGGTAGCTAGCTAGCTAGCTAGCCAGGTAGCTAGCTAGCTAGCTAGCTAGCTAGCTGTCGTTGCCCGCCAGCAGCAAAAAACACCCCCACTGGGGGAACAGGCGAAGAAGCGATGAAAAGCTGATAGATATCACCACCTGCTGCTGCTGCTGTTGCTGCTGATTGTGCTGCTGCTGCTGCTGCTGATTCTGCTGCTGCTGCTGCTGCTGCTGCTGGCAAGACAGGTCAAACTAAGAGCAGCACTAAGGAAGATAGCATCATTTCAAAATCAGTCTCAACAACAGCAGCTGCTGCTGCTTCTCCTGCAGCAGCTGCAGCAGCAGCTGCAGCTGCTGCCATTGCTGCTGCAGCAGCTGCTCCAGTCGTTACTGCTGCCGCTGGCACAGCAGCAACCGCTGCCGCTGGTACAGCAGCAGCAGCAGCAGCTCTTGCAGCAGCAGCATCTGCTGCTGCTGCTGCTGCTGCTGCTGCTGCTGCACACCGCCAGCAGCTGGCGGCCTAGGCGAAAGCTGCCTCTCTGGGGATTTCCCTCGAGGCATTTGATTGGCGCAAAGAGCACTAAAGTATTTTATTTATTTCTTTTATTTATTTATTTTATTTATTTTATTTATTTTATTTATTTATTTTATTTTATTTATTTTATTTTTTGTTTTTATTTGGTCTTGGCGTTGCCATGCAAGAAAGCCCAGCTTGGCTACACAGCAAACGCCCTACGCAGCCGCTGCTGCTGCTGCACTGCAGCAGCAGCAGCAGCAGCTGCAGCAGCAGCAGCAGCAGCTGCAGCAGCAGCAGCAGCAGCAGCAGGAAGCAGTGAAGTGGAACTATTAGTGTTTTGAGTTTGGAAAGTGTAGAAATGGAATTAAAATAAAATTATATTTTCAACAAGTCCCGTTCGAGTCTTTTTGCCCACAGTTGCAGCACTGGCTATTTATATAAATTAAAATAAATAAAAAAACAAATATATATATCAAATATATAAAATGTATATATAATATATTTATTATATATATTGTAATTAATATATATATAATATATATAATATATATAAACAAATATATATCAAATATATAAAATGTATATATAATATATTTATTATATATATATTATATTTAATATATGAAATATATATAATATATATAAACAAATATATATCAAATATATTAAATGTGTATATATAAAATATATAATATGTTTATTATATATAATATATATAAACAAATATATATATCAAATATATAAAATGTATATATAACATATAATATATTTACTATATATATATTATGTGCAATATATATAATACATATAAACAAATATATATATCAAATATATATAGTATATATATTATGTGTATAATATATAATATACATAATATAAATATAATACATTATATATACTATAATATATATAATATATATATATTATACATTTGTATTGTATATATAATATATATAATTATATAAATATATAAATATATTATTACATATATACACAATATAAATATAATATACATATGACAATAAATATAATATATTTATATATATAAACATATAAATTATATATAAATATATATATAATATATATATATGTTTTATATATATATATATGTTTATATATATATATATAAACATATATATATATATATATGTTTATATATATATATATTTATATATATAAACATATAAATTATATATAAAACATATATTTATATATACATTGTATATGTATTATATATATGTTATAAAACTCATATATATATATATTTGTTATATATATTTATATACAAATATAAGCCATAAAGTGCATGTAAATATAAATAAATATAAATAAATATAAATAAATATAAATAAATAAATAAATAAATATAAATAAATATATTTATATTTATTCATTTATTTCATTTTTATTTATATTTATTTGCAAATGTGGGCGAAGTGAATTAAAAAGAAAAATGGAAAATTAATTCGAAGAAAAAAACATTTGAATGAAACTAATTCGAATTGAATTCAATTAAATTCAATTTCCCTTTTGCAGCAGCAGCAGCTGCTGCTGCTTTTTGCTGCTGCTGCTGCTTTTTGCTGCTGCTGCTCTTTGTGTGTGCTCTTTGCTGCTGCCGCTGCAGCTGCTGCTGCAGCTGCTGCTGCAGCTGCTGTTACAGCTGCAGCTGCTGCTGCAGCTGCTGTCGCAGCTGCTGCTGCAGCTGCTGCTGCAGCTGCTGTTGCTGCTGCTGTTGCTGCTGCTGCTGCTGCTGCTGCTAGTATTCCTGGTCCAGCAGCACTTGGGTGTTTTCATCGGCGTGGGCCTCTTCAGCTTCTGCTTCTTCTGCAGCAGCAAAATCGCAGAAGTCCGCAAATTCAATTAATTCATTTATTTAATAAAAGTCCATTTTATTCATTTACTCAAACTAAATTAAAGCAAAATGCTTCTGCTGCTGCTGCTGCTGCAGTCTGCTGCTGCTGCTGCTGCTGCTGCTGCTGCTGCTGCGCTGCTACCGCTGCTGCCGCTGCAGCTGCCGCTGCAGCTGCTGCCGCAGCTGCTCGGACCCAGACGGCTCTGCGCTGCTGCTGCTGCTGCTGTTGCTGCTGCTGCTGCTGCTGCTGCTGCTGCTGCTGCTGGCTCACCCCAAAAGGACGGCTCGGCCTGCTGCACCAAATCGGACTGTCTCTTTTTGCCGCGGCCTGTTGCTGCTTCGTCTTGAACAAAATCTGTTCGCTGCGGAGAAGCTTGCTTCGGAACAGCTCTTTGCCGCTGCCTGTCAGCAGCAGCAGCAGCAGCAGCAGCAGCAGCAGCAGCAGCAGCAGGTCAGCTGGCGGTTTAAATTGTTCAATTAAGTGAAGATATGACATCACCATTTAGTTTAAATCAATTAGAATGAATTAAAATGAATTAAAATGAATTAAAACGAATTAAAATGAATTAAAATGAATTAAAATGAATTAAAATGAATTGAAATGAATTAAAATGAATTAAAAGATGCTGCAGCAGCAAACGGACTTGTAAATGAAGAAAGCCCCTCCCGTCAGCAGCAGCAGCAGCAGCCCCCCCGCCACGGCCAGCCCAATGAAGACAGTGCCCCGGCTAGATTCGCCTGCAACACAGCAGCAGCAGCAGCAGCAGCAGCAGCAGCAGCAGCAGCAACAGCAGCAGCGGCAGCAGAGGCTGATGAGCAGGCGGTGGAGCGCTTAAGAGCAGCAAAAATGCAGAAAGAACGACAGCAAAAGACGAAAAAGCTACAACGAGCAGCAGCAGCAGCAGCAGCAGCAGCCGCAGCAGCAGCAGCAGCAGCAGCAGCAGCAGCAGCAGCAGCGGGCCCGGGAGTTGCCCGTCCACCAGGCGGTTCCTTGGTGTCCGTACACCTAAAAACCTCCCCTCCCGCCCTCCCCT